TTGAGATTTTAGCTCATTGAGCTTTGTGGAATTACCATGTGGTGTCATTTTCTGCTTTTGTTTTACTCTCACTGTGCAAATGTTGACCTGTAACAAAATTACATTTTTACCCCCGGTTACTTATTGAACTTCTAAAACATTACAATGATTTCACTGGCTCACGAGAGCAAAAATACGTACATCTGATTTCTGAACCATGACATCAATGAAATGAAATTTTGTGAAAACTATTTGATTACTGATTTTACTGGTTACTCACTGGGCTTTTAGCTCACCCCAAAAATGTTTTATTTCCCCCCCCACAGGGCTCAAGGCGAAGGAAGGGCTTGTTGTGCTTATTCACGTGACTGGATGGCTTATATCGTGTACAGTTTAAGTTTGGATCTATTTTATGTACGAGTTGGTCTTGTATAAATATTTGAATTTGATATGGATGTAAGTATACATTCCACGATTGGAATCAGTTTCCGCTGCATTTGTGACATGTAATTATTGGAGACTTGGATGTATGTTTGTGGACCATGTGATGTATATTTGAGATTTATATTGTAATTCATTTGAGGATTGTAGTGATCGACTGAGTCCCGGCGAGAGCTGGGCAGGCGGCCCGCCGAACCCTCTGGTACGCCCTAGGGGGAGGTGGGGTCGTCACAGAATCAGGCTCAGGTTAAAACATGAAAATTGTAGCCAATGGTGTTAACTAGCTTTCTACAAAAGTTCAGTTCGATCCGATCACTGTAGCATGTTAAATGACCGAAATACCCTTGACTGTCAATGAACCCTATTCCGCGCCCAGATTTCTATTTTCGTAGAAATTTCCATTTTTGATCATGAAAATGCATGATTTGGCTTTGGAGGTATTCATAAGAAATGTAGGTATATGTCTTGGCTTCGAAACGCCATAAGATTTGATTCAATCCGATAAGGGTAGCTTCAGTTATGGATTTTGTGCCGAAAGGTGTTAAACGGAACTTTTTACGTTAATTGCGATCGTTGCGGAAAATTTACGCTTGAGGAAATGAATTCCAGTTTCTAGGGTTTAATTGGGGGTTTTTCTAATGGTGGCTCTTAAGCTTCTAATTAGCTTTGATTGAGGGATATTGTGGCCTAATTGGATATATTTTATGGCTTATTAATCATATGTGTGATTGGTAATATATTGTAGGTTGGAAATGAAGCATTTATGGAGAAATGCTGTCCGAACTTTGAGAATGTATGATTGCTTTGAGTTTGTGATTTAGGCTTGGATTCGGGCAAGGTAATGATATATGATGGATGGTTTCTAAGCCGTGGAGGTGAGTGACCCTAAACTGTTTCCAAAGTACTTTTGAAATGTTTCTTGCATTATTTACTCGTTTGCATATCATGTGTGCCGGCATGTGAGTTCATGACATGATTTGGCTTAAATGTGTTCTTGGGGAGTCTTGTGCTGAACACCAACGTCTCCACTCCTGTTTATTGTTCATGACATGATCTAGAGCACCAACGTTGCTCTCCCTTATTGTTTAACGTTAAGTAATCTATTTGAGCGTTGGGTATTTAAGTACAATGATTTCACTGCACATCAGTAGGGCGTTGCATCAACGGCTGTCCTCTGTTCAGACGGCAACAAGAGAGGGGCTAAATTGTGTGACGGTTGGTTCGGAACAGTTGGGGCAGCAAGAGGCCGCGGGATATGGTCAGCTTGAAGCTAGGCACAAGGGTGGTCGGTCGGCTAAAACATCTCTCAATCAGGTTCATCTCCAATCTCAAAATCATTACTCTTTGCGGTCTCATGTTAAATCCCGTTAAGTTTGTTGTATGGAACATACGTGGGGCTTCTTGCAAAGACTCACTTAGATATTTACATAAGATTTGCAAAGCTAATAGAATACGGCTGCTGGTACTTCTGGAACCCTTGTCGGATACTCCACAGCTCGAGGTGGTACGCCGGTTTCAGGGAAATGGCCGAGCAACTTCTTCACATGCACATCAATTTCTCTTCCGGGTGTTCTATTCAATTTTCGGCAGTATATGCTCGGTGCTCAAGGGTGGGGCGACGCGAGTTGTGGTCAGCAATGGAAGAATTGACGGGTACCGTTCATGGGCCATGGTTACTGGCAGGAGATTTTAATATCATTGCCAATATGGAGGAGCGAGTGGGAGGTTCCCCGGCTAATGAACGAAACATGGAAGAATTTAATGTAGCTATTGGCAATTGTGGTTTTGCGGAGGTGCCCTTTGATGGTACGGTATTTACGTGGATGAATGGCAGGGTGTGGCAGAGATTGGATAGGGCTTTAATGAATTGGGATTGGGCTGATGGGTACGACCTCTCGCATGTCTCACATTTGTCCAGAGGACGCTCGGATCATGATCCACTTTTGATTAGTTGCCAGAATGGTAGACAAAGCAAACGTTCTTTTAAATTTCTAAATGTTTGGCGGCGACATTCAGGTTTTATGGATGTGGTACAACAGGGTTGGGCGATGCCGGTGGAGGGTGTGGGTATGCCAAAATTTTATCATAAACTGCGGGCGGTTAAGGGTTGTCTGCAGGTATGGAATGTCCAGGTCTTTGGAAATATTTTTAGCAAGGTGAAGGAGGCCGAGGCTATTATGAAACAACGGGAGGAACAGTTTGACAATGGGAGGGATTCGGATTCCAGAGCAGCGCTGGAGGAGGCAAAGGCAGTTTATGAAAGGAGATTGGCGTTGGACTGTGAGTATTGGAGACAGAAAGCGGGCATCAAATGGTTGCAGGTTGGGGATGCTAATTCGGCATATTTCCATTCTCGATGCCGTCAGCGCCGTAATTTTAATTTTGTGGCTCGCATTAAAGATCAATCAGGAACATGGTTGGAGGATGCACAAGATATAGGGCGATCAGCAGTGGAGTTCTTTTCATCTTTGTTCGCATCTGAACACCATGGCTGGCACACTCCGGAGCTTTCTTTTACGGTCCCCCAGTTGTCTCCGGCGAACAATGACATGTTAGGTGCTTTACCTGGCATGGCAGAATTAAAGGAGCTGGTGTTTGCGTTGGAGGCAGAAGTGCTCCGGGACCAGATGGGTTTGGGGCAGGTTTTTACCAGATTTGCTGGGATATTATTAAGTCCAACTTATTGGAGGCGATGCAGGCGTTTTTCCAGGGTATGCGTTTGCCTAGGAGTTTCACTAGTACTTCTATTATTTTACTGCCTAAGGTTGCGGGCGCCATGCAATGGAAGGACTTTCGGCCAATTAGTCTTTGCAACGTCTGTTCTAAAATTATTTCTAGGATCGTCTCTAATCGGTTGGGTAGGGTTCTCCCTGCCTTGGTATCACCGTGGCAGACGGGCTTTGTACCAGGGAGGGGGATAACGGATAACATCCTTCTCACTCAGGAGCTGGTGGTAGATTTAGATAGGCGGTTGAGACACCCGAACCTCATGCTAAAATTGGAAATGGAAAAGGCGTACGACAGGGTCGAGTGGCCTTTTCTTTTGTTTATGCTTCGGAATTTTGGTTTTACGGAACAGGTGGTAGACATTATCTTTCGCCTGGTGTCTAATAATTGGTTTTCAGTATTGGTGAATGGTGAGCCGGCTGGATTTTTTAAATCCTCAAGGGGTCTAAGGCAGGGTGACCCGGTTTCTCCTGGCCTTTTTGTGCTGATTGCCGAGTTTTTAGGTCATGGGCTGCACCATCTTCTTAGTCAGCCGGGTAGGTATTTTGTTTCGGCAGGGACAACGGTGCCCTACCTAGCCTTCGCGGATGACATGCTTATCTTTACAAGATGTTCAGAGGAGTGCTTGTACGCAATCAAGGCTTTTCTATCGGACTATCAAGAAGCCTCAGGACAAAGGGTAAATGTCGCTAAGAGTTCCTTTTTTTTGCCGTCACGGGCTACTTCGGGGCAGAAGCAGTTGGTAAATAGGGTTTTGGGCTTTAACAAGAAATCTTTCCCGTTCACTTATTTGGGTGCTCCTATATATAAAGGCCGGCGGCGAAGTGTCTTGTTTGATGGTATTGTTTCTAAAGTGAGGGCCCACCTTGGACACTGGAGTACTAAGTTGCTTTCATTTGGGGGTAAGCTCATTTTAGCACGGCATGTCCTTGCTTCGGTGCCTATGCACTTACTTCAGGTGTTGGATCCTCCCAAAGCTGTGCTCACTCGGTTGGGCATGATTTGTAATGCCTTTCTTTGGGATCAAAAGGGGGAGAGGCGCATACATTGGTCTTCCTGGGACAAGTTGTGCTTTCCCATTGACGAAGGGGGTCTGGGTTTTTGGTCTTTTAAGGACATGGCAAGGGCTTTTGCGGCTAAATTATGGTGGCGTTTGAGGCTTGGAGATTCCATTTGGGCAGAGTTCATGCATGCCAAATACATCAAAGGAAGTCATCCATCGGAGGCATCGGCAGTGCGGCCTACGGTTACTTGGCGGCGTCTTGAGGCGGTGCGTCAAGTGGTTGAGCCGAACATTAGGTGCTGTTTAGGGGTAGGCCTTGTGGATTTTTGGAAGGATCGATGGGTTCTTCAGGAGCCATTAGAGAGTGTGGTGGATGGCTCTGAGAGGCCTCACTTTCTTGTCTCGGAGTTTATTACTAGGGATGGATGGGATGAATTGCGTCTTTCCCGGTGGGTTCCGAGTTTTGTCATTCATGCGATCACTGACATGCCCTTCGACTTATCTCAGAAAGATAGGATGGTTTGGTTGCCTTCGCCGACGGGTTGTTTCTCGGTTAAGTCGGCATGGGAGGTGCTCCCGCAAAGGAGGCATATATCCTTGGTTGACTCATTACTATGGCCTTCAGTGTTGCCAACAAAAATGTCATTTTTAGCTTGGAGATTGGTGCGTAATTTCCTCCCTTTGGATGTGACGTTGCGGTCGCGGGGTTTGTCTTTTCCTTCTAGATGCGGGTGTTGTTACCTGGAGGAGGAGGCTCTTTTGCATGTCTTTTTAACTGGACCGGTTGCTTCGGAAGTATGGTAGAGACTGTTTTGCCGTTTTTGGATTTCAGTTGCGTAATTGCTCGAGCATGGCGTCAGTTTTTGTCTCTTGGTACTGGACGTCGTCTTCCTCTTCGAAAAACCATATTCGGACATTTATGCCAGTTGTAGTGTGCTGGTTTCTTTGGTCTGCAAGGAACAAGGAACGTTTTCAGGGCGTGCGATGGGGGGTAGAAAAGGTAATCCGTGAGGTGGATTGTTTTTTGGAACAGCTTGGGAGGGCAAATAAGCTTCGTCGGTCACATTTCACGGGAGATGCTGATTGTGATTTGCTGCGTTTGATCACAGCCCCTCCGCGGAGGAGGACCCCTTGTGCGGTTGCATGGGAGAAACCGCCTTTTGGTTTAATTAAATTCAACTCGGACGCCAGCGTGAATCATGGTAGGGCCACGGGTGGGGGACTGTTGCGAGATTATCAGGGGAAACTCATTTTTGCTTATTACAAAGAATTCGGAGAACAGGATGTGTTGGAGGCTGAAAGTATGGCATTACTATTTGGTATGCAGTTGTGTTTACAAAGGGGGTTTCGTCCATCGTTGGTAGAGGTGGATTCCAAGGCCTTGGTGCAGTTGGTTGTCTCTGGGGTAATTGCTAAGTGGCCATTATGTAATATTTTGAGGAAAGTTAGAGGTCTTCTGGAGGGCTTTTCGGCCTCCATCTCACATATTTTCCGTGAGGCGAACTCACCTGCAAATAGGTTAGCAGATATTGGGGCAGTAGGTGTACGGGTATACGATCATTTTCATCAATTGCCGGCAATCGTTCAGGCTTCTATTGTGCTAGACTCACGTGGGGTGCCAGGTGTTCGATGGCTAAGTGAGGAGGGATAGGTTGTGCTCTAAGCATAGGCTCCAATTTTTGGAGAGGTGGCTTCCTCTCACTTTTTTATTCTTTTGTTTGCAATAAAATTTGGGGATGGCATCCCTTCCCCGTGTACGGGGTTTGACAAAAAAAAAAGATTTCACTGGCTCATGAGAGCAATAAACGTACATTTGATTACTGATTCATGACATCATTGAAATGAACGATTGTGAAATATATTTGATTACTGATTTTATTGGTTACTCACTGAGCTTTTAGCTCACTCCAAAACTATTTTATTCCTCTCCACAGGGCTCGAGGCGAAGGAAGTGGTTGTAGTACTCACTCATGTGATCGGATGAATTATCTCATGTATAGTTTGAATTTGGAATTCCTCTTGTATAATAGTTGGTATCAAGGATTGTATAAATGTTTGGACTTGAATAGATGTACGTGTACATTCCACGCTTGGGAACTAGTTTCCGCTTCGCTTATGATATGTAAATTTGTGGAACATCTGATGTACATTTGAGACTTATATTGTAATTTATTTGAGAACTGTAGTGAAGGACTGAGTCCCGGCGAGAACTGGGCAGGCGGTCCGTCGAACCCTTTGGTTCGCCTTAGGGGAAGGTTGGGCTGTCACAGTTAGTATCAGAGCTTAGGCTTCAGATTCCTGTAGTGTATCCTAGGTTTGAAGTTTAGGATGCCGGACTGTGGGTTTGGTTTGAAATATTAGTAATTATTGCGGGATGTCTCGACTTGATTGGTACAAGATGGAATGTCGAGGATGACATTCTTTTAAGGAGGGGAGTTTGTGACGCCTCGAAAGAATGAGTGTGAGAACCCGAAAATTTTTGTATATTTTCTAGACATTATTTTTTTTTCTTGTCTATAATTTTATACCTTTCTTCAATATATTAATTTCTTATACATTTTTATAAGGGAATATAGTTTTCAAATCATTTCCTTGATACAAGTTAGTCCACTTTAAGTTTGAAGTGTATTATCAACGTGGGACCCGCTAGTGCGGTAAATGCGATAAATTTTGACAACTTGTTGGATTTTTGTATTAAGTGATATTATTTTACAAGGTACTAAGAGATAATTAGAAGTTACCTATATAGATTAGCATTAGAGAGACAAAGAGATAAGCTTTAAGTAAAAGGTGACAAGTGTCACCATTCAATTCATCCTTGGACTTTTGACCAAGATATTTTTACTTTCTTAAAGCTAATTTTGGCCAATTTATTTCTTCATTTTTAGCTCCTTTGGCCAGCCCTCTCAATAAGAAAAGAAAAGAAGCTCTCAACTTGTTTCTTCCATTTCTTCCCTTGATCTCACAAACCAACCGTTAAAACTTTGATTTGCTCCATAAAAACCTTTCTTTTGATAGGATTAAGATGAGTGGTGAAGTGGTTTGAGAAGCAAAGATGCTAAGTTGCTTGTTGTCCTGAGGTTACAAGGTGAGTTGTTAAGAATCTTTCCCTTTAGCTTTGATAATGTTCAATTGGTGGCTTTATTGGTTTAATAGGATGACATATGGTGTGATTATGGTTTGTTTATAGTTGGAAGTGAAGGTTTGATGAATTTTGATTTATTATTGTTATTTTTCTGTTTTGTATGAGGATCATGGTTTGATCATGGTATGATGGCTGGTAATGGTGTAAAATGAAGCTTATATATGTTAGTTGAAGTTGGTTGCAGAAAATTTCTGGTTTGATACGAAATTCCAGGTTTAGGGTTTACATTTGCCCTGTTCTGACCGGATTTATTCGAGCATGTTAGAGGCCGAATCAGGCTCAGGTTAAAACATGAAAGTTGTAGCCAATGGTTTAACTAGCTTTCTACAAAAGTTCAACTCGATCCGATCACTGTAGCATGTGAAATGACCAAAATACCCTTGACTGTCCATGAACCCTGTTCCGCGCCCAGATTTCTATTTTCGTGGAAATTTCCATTTTTGATCATGAAAATGCTTGATTTGGCTTTGGAGGTATTCATAAGAAATGTAGGTATTTGTCTTGGCTTCGAAACGCCATAAGATTTGTTTCAATCTGATAAGGGTAGCTTCAGTTATAGATTTTGTACCGAAAGGTGTTAAACGGAACTTTTTACGTTAATTGCGATCGTTGCGGAAAATTTACGCTTGAGGAAATGAATTCTAGTTTCTAGGGTTTAATTGGGGGTTTTTCTAATGGTGTCTCTTAAGTTTCTAATTAGCTTTGATTGAGGGATATTGTGGCCTAATTGGATATATTTTATTGCTTATTAATCGTATGTGTGATTGGTAATATATTGTAGGTTGGAAATGAAGCATTTATGGGGAAATGCTGTCCGAACTTTGAGAATGTATGATTGCTTTGAGTTTGTGATTTAGGGCTTGGACTCGGGCAAGGTAATGATATATGATGGATGATTTCTGAGCCATGGAGGTGAGTGACCCTAAACTGTTTTCAAAGTACATTTGAAATGTTTCTTGCATTATTTACTCGTTTGCATATCATGTGTGCCGGCATGTTAGTTCATGACATGATTTGGCTTAAATGAATTCTTGGGGAGTCTTGTGCTGAACACCAACGTCTCCACTCCTGTTTATTGTTCATGACATGATCTGGAGCACCAACGTTGCTCCCCCTTATTGTTTAACATTAAGTAATCTATTTGAGCGTTGGGTGTTTAAGTACAATGATTTTACTGGCTCATGAGAGCAATAAACGTACATTTGATTTCTGATTCATGACATCATTGAAATGAGCGATTGTGAAATATATTTGATTACTGATTTTATTGGTTACTCACTGAGCTTTTAACTTACCCCAAAACTATTTTATTCCCCTCCACAGGGCTTGAGGCGAAGGAAGTGCTTGTAGTACTCATTCATGTGATCGGATGAATTATCTCATGTATAGTTTGAATTTGGAATTCCTCTTGTATAATAGTTGGTATCAAGGATTGTATGAATGTTTGGACTTGAATGGATGTACGTGTACATTCCACGCTTGGGAACTAGTTTCCGCTTCGCTTATGATATATAAATTTGTGGAACATCTGATGTATATTTGAAACTTATATTGTAATTTATTTGAGGACTGTAGTGAACGACTGAGTCCCGGCGAGAGTTGGGCAGGCGGTCCGCCGAACCCTTTGGTTCGCCTTAGGGGAAGGTGGGGCTGTCACATATACCAACTCCATTTTACACTATAACAAACCATCAATCCATGACTAACCAACACTAAACATATGAAATCAGAAAAATCATGAAAAAATCAGAAATTCATCAATATCTACGAAAAAACATGAAATCTTCCACAAAATCACCTCTTAAGCCAACACAAGTCACTAATAAACCATTATTAAGAACAAAGAATGGATTGCTAGACATGATGGCTTAGTCCTTTCCCTTTTTTAATCACTCCACCACTACCTTCAATCTTCCTAAGCAAGTGACTTTTATGGAGGAATTTGGAATTTTAACGGTTGATTCACAAGATTGAGCAAGAAAATGGAGTTGGAGTTGAAGGCTTTCTTCTTGTTTTTCCTCCTCAAGAATTTGGCCAAGATGCTAGAAGAATGAAGATGATTTTGGTCAATTTTTGGTATTTAGTAAAGGTGATGAATAGTAGTCAAAGTCATCCTCCAATAGTTACTTGACACTTGTCCATTCCTATGCTTGATCTCATCCTTTTGTCTCTCCTTACAAATTAATCTAACTAACCTCCAATTATCTCCTAACACATGGTAAATGAATCCCTTAATGCAAAACTTAACCTAATTGGCCGAATTAACCGTACTTAACGCACTAGCGGGTCCTACATCCGGTATATGCTCTTCAAACCGCATGAACTAACTTATGCTAGAAAGATAATTTAAAAACCCTATTTACTCATAAAAATTATTTAGAAAATTTTTTTCCTAATAAAGAAAATGCATAAAAGGCGTGTAATCAAATAAAATAAAGTCTAGAAAATAAGAAAATTCACGGGTTCTCACACTAAGACCATTTCAATACCCAAATGATGCGCCAAAGTTGTTCTTCAAATCTGAAAATTTCACTGTTTCAGTGGTGAAAGTTACCGACTTTGAACTACTATATCTTCATACTCATGACTTTGAATTTAGTTCCGTTTATCGTGTTTGAAACCTTGATGAAATTCTTATTGTGTTACAAATTTCAGAGGCTAGTTCACTTTCTGTAAATTTTACTGAATTTCCAAAATTTGACTAAATTTGTCTTATAGGCTCAAATCAGCCACTTTGAGTTGAAATTTGAATGTCTTCCGTTTAGAATCTTAAAAAAGTGTCTTCTAGAAATTTTTAGTACTTTGAAACAAGATTCCGACGGTATAAAATTTTTCATTTTTGGACCCACTAAGAGTAAGTTCTGATTTTCTTAAATTTAACGTGCAAAACTGAAATTTTCCAACTTGATGAGAAATGAGTTTTGGAAACTTTTCCCTTACCTTTTGATAATGATTGATCGTTTTAAACTCGATTTTATGGAGGAAATCAGTTTTTCTTGTCTTAATAAATCCTCACTTTTGAACCTTTATTTTGAGTGGTTAAGATTCTTTGTTTGAGGTATTGATTAGTATAAATGAGTGTACCTTTTTATTGATACATAAATAGTTGTGAGTGAGAATACTTGTTAATTGTCTAGGCGCTCAAGGAGATCTACAAGAGAATCTCGAAGCGGACGCCTAACGACTTAATTGCTCGTTCACTCACTCTTATTTTGAATTGGTGAGTGTCAAGTGTGTGAAAAATTGTGACGTGCTTAATTGTTATTATTGATTGAGTATTTTGAATATGTTGGGTCGAGTGTTTACGTTATCACACTCGTTCTCGTTTAAGTGAAGTGTACTTGAATTGTTTAAAGTGAATTGTTAAGTGTAATAAGTGAAGTGTTGCAATGGTTAATTATGCTATGATTGCATATGTTGATTGGAGTGAATCTCCTCGACTCCTAATGATAATAGGAGGGGACACCCAAATCTCATCGGCCGACCTTGCGACTCGAGCCGGCATG